TGGGTGTACACGGTAAAACTCATTAGAAAAAGCATGAATTTCAAATAAATAAATTTAATTTGTAAGAAAAGATCACTCTCTAAAAACCACTAGTTAAAGGTATCCCAGCGTCTGGCATAATAATTTTACCCTTAATTTGTCTAAAATATGCACATACTCGATTTTAAACACAAATTTTTTGAATGTGTTTGAGATACACCAATACAATTTACACTGTTGGTGGCTTCATAATATATATTTTTCAGAGCTTTCCCAGTTAGCAATAATTAAATACAAGTATATTTTTACAAAAAATTATAGAACTCGTAATTTTATACAATTTTTTATTTTTACCACAATTGTTTCGCTAACACAGTAGCAATTTTAAGTGGAGTGTTACATTAAATATTTTACAGAATTGTAGCTTATAAATATCTTAACTGAAAGTAGGGTTTCAATTAGAATAAATTTAACAAGGGTGATGTATTTAACTCTATTTGGTCTTTTAACAATAGTTCTGCGCTTTGATTTTTAATTTTATTTATTTCCAGACATTGGAAAGTGTTAAGTTTTTTTCCTTTATTTAATGCGTGTAAAATTCTATAATTTCTTTTAAATTTGTGATTTTCTGAAATTAGATGATTATCATAATTAGTTTAGAAGTTCTTTTTTTATATTCAATGTTTTTAAAATATTCATTAATTCCAGGTTTGAATGTACTTTCTGTTTGATCTATTTTTTAGGGGCAGATTTTTTGCTAATCCTTGTAGTGACACCTATCAAAAATATATTCCTATTATATTTTGTTAGTTGGCTATTATGTATTAAAATTAAAGAAGTGTCTCTTTGGTGGAACATAGTAAAAAATATATTTAATGTTGCCTTTGTCCGTGTACAAGAGCGATTCCTGTGTCGTCAAAAATCCCATAGAAAATGAATTTGAAATAATTCTGAATCAAAGAAAAATGAAAGAAGTGGACAAGAGGAATATTATATGGAACACGCAGTGTATGTTTTGTTTGAGATTTTTCTCAGAAGACACTAGGGGTGAAAATTCGATGAGATGTAGCAAATCGATGTCGAGTTGATGTCCAGATATACTTGATATACCAGAGTGACTTG